ACTTAAATTCGTTTCTTAACTTTAATTCACTTTTTTTATTTTTTTATTCTTTACTCTTTAACTTCGAGGTTTTTTTCTAACGTTGTAAACTAAAAATGTGAAAGTAAAAATATGAAAGTAAAAGTAAAAAATATTTTTTCAAAATTCAATTTAAGTTAGGAATATGAAAATTATATGTCGATGTAAATAAAAAATTTCCGAATAATCGATAGACACGTATAAATTCTTTAAAATAAAATAGTACGATTCTTTTATTTATTTATTTTAAATTATTTTTTAAAGCGAAATATTTAATATAAGAACTGTGTTAATCAAAATACGCGGCAGTTTTGCAATATTACGAAACATGAATGCAAAAAAGCATTTATCAATAATTATTCGTAACGAATTTAAGACTAAATTAAAATTAGATTCCATCCAAAATTTATCGAATTCAAGATTATTTCTTTGATTAAAAAATACAATTCTTCTTTTTTTATATTATGAAAATTTAATATGAATTAGAAGCAAGATATTATCGATTAAGATCGGAAATTTAGAAAAAATGCACTTTTATGATTTTTCCATCGAAACTCTTAATTACAAAGCTTCATTGAAAAAAGAAATTCCAAATTATATCGTCGTGATTAGGATATGATAAAGATTATTCTACGTAATGGCCTTGAGACATTGTCAAACGGATAGATTGTTTCAATCGATAGATTACTGACACATCGTTGAAAGAACGAAGCCAAAGTTTGTTCTTTTTTCTGGACGTCATCAGAACACAATTTACAAAATCGCAGAAAATTTTTTTATATTTAGAATAGCTAGAATAGTCGATGTGGCCATTCTCATTGAACTCCAAAGATGCGGATATTTATGTAAATTAATATTTTTGTGAACACAATTAATGAAATGGAATGTAAATTGAGATTTTTTTTCACTTCTTAAATATTATAAATCTTTTGTTTTGGATGTTTGATATATTTATTATATGAATTCTATACATTTTTTTCATACATTTAAATTTCATAAATGCATAAACATCCGCAATCCAATTATCAGACTTTTATTTCTTATCGTTTCTAACGCGATTTGGCTATATCATTTGACGAAGAAAAATATTTTTTCTAAAAATCCGCTAATTATTTTTTGCGCTCGGCTAATGTTTTAATTCTTTTTCACATTTTTCCTTTTTTTTACATTTTTATTTTGTCGAGTATCGAACATTGATTAATCTCTCTGCACCAACATTCCGATTAGATGGCTAGTGTCATTTCTTGGCACGAAGTAAAGCCGTTTTTCATTCACGGTAAACCTAATAACGGTTACGCGAGACGAAGAATTATTAATCTGGTTGCACAAGCTAAATTTCGCGATTAAATGCGTTGTTGATGAGTAAAGAATTGTACATATAACGAGTGTATGTGTGTATTTGTAAATAAGAATCGAAATTAAAAGAGGTAAACTGGATGAAAGATATCGTCTACACAGCTATAGAGGTTCGATATAGATACTAATTGATAATAATTGATAAAGTATTATTTTTTTTATTAATCTGATAGATTAAATGAATGGTATTTATCTTAATGTTATAAATAATGATGATATATACGAACTTAAGGAAGAATGGAAGTCTTATAAATGTAGTAAAAAAAGAAAGAAGAAATCAATTCAAATATTCTTAAACTTAAATATTAATTTCTATTACTTAATGATAATATCGCATTTTGAATTTATAATTCAAAAATATTTTAAAAGTTTAAAAAAAAAAAAGTTAAAAAAAAACTTTTTTTTATGTTTGGCTATTATAAATAAATAAAAAATCTATTTTATAGTAAATCTATTTTTATAAACGTAAAAGCTAATTCTTTTTTGAAGAAAATTATAAAAATGTTTTTTTTATCTAAACAGAGATATTCTAATCCTCCATTCTTCTTCTAAAAAATGTATTTTAAAAATATTTTCTTCATTTGAACAAAGATTCTATCTATTAAAGAAAATTCTAAAACTGTTTTTTCCATATAAAAAACCAACATTCTATATCTTCATCGTTCATTAAAAAATTTAATAAACCTAAATTTTATCACAAAATTTCCATCTTTAACGTTCCTTCTTTAATTTTCCCTAACAAAAGCTATTCTTTCAAAATTCAGATCATCTCTTTGACCAAAATCTGCAAAATAAATTAATCATTCGAAAAAAACAAACAAATTGAAAAACTTATTCTTTCCATAAATCCATCGAGCATCTTGGGCTGTGTAGATCTGTAGAAGACGCCTTGTGTCGCGTCCTCTTCGTCCATTGATCGAAGAATCGAATACATATCTTTGGGCGTCGTGCGTCGAAGGATCTGCGTGCTGGCAGTGTTTCTTTAAAATGTAGCGTGATCTTATTTCATATTTGTTTCCCTTCCTCATTAAAATGATACATGTATTCAGAAGTATATATGCGCGCGCGTGTGCACGTGTTTTGGCATACACACGTTTGTTGTCTGAGAATTAGTCCGCCTGCTAATATCCGGCCAGGTCGGCGAACGTCTGATCCATTTCGTCGGCGATCGCTTTGTACTTACAGCGCTCGTTTACCACCACGTCTGCAATGCAAAAGGGAGGGTTACGGATATTAGATCCTAGGTTAGTTGGTTAGTTATTATTTTGTTAGAAAAAGAGAGAGAGAGAGAGAGTGTGTTATTACAATTTAATAAAGGATTTGCTCATCTTTCTTTTCACATTAATTTAATAACGTGGGAATAGTAGGTTTATCATATTTTCTTCAGGGATAACTTAATAAATGAATTATACTAACTTACTTATCATTACGTAACAGTGGTAAAAACTATAATTAAAAACTACAATCTTAAAAACTAAGATCAATTTCGGATAGTTTTAGATTGAATATTAAATTAGAATTATTTTTAAATTGGTTAATAGATTAGTATATTTAACGAATGAAAATTTAAAAAAGATAGAATTTAATATAAAAGGTTCAAGAAATAATAAGTACGTGTAATTTATATATCTTTATTGAAACTCATAGTTAGTGTTCTTAGAACATAATTTATAATAGTATAATAGTTGTCAATGAAAAAAGACACTGGCTTTAAGGCTAAAATTTTATTTGCCCATTTGCCTGGTTACAAGAATCGATGTCAACGTTTCGCAGCGAATAAAGAAAATCGCGTGTCATCGAAAATGAGTACTTACCGAATACGTTTTATCGCGGAATCGCAATGGAATCGTTATAAACGAGTGATTCGACTAATTTTTATCTAGAATATAGAATCGTCGAGCGATTTACAAAAAAGAAAAACAGAAAAAATAAAAAAAAAAATATAAGGGATAAATATAAACCTGAGAACAAAGTCATTAATCGAATTAAATAAAAAAGGAAGCCAAAAAAAGGGAATCGAACGCGAAGGAACGCGGAACGTATATGTTTTAGGTGCAACAATACAGATTTGCATATAATAATAATAATAATAATAATAATAATAGTAATAGTAATAATAATGAAAATAATAATATAAGCGAATCGGCTGATTTCACGAAATGACCATGATAACGTATCCGCTCGTGTTTGTAGATGCACAAGCCCGGCCAATTATTTGGACATAGTTGATGAACATATAAGAGAGCTGATTAGTAATTAATTCTTCTCGATCAACTCGGTAAAGGTAAGGTCCAGATCGTCGCAGATGTATTTGTACTTTTCCTTCTCGTGTACGAGCTCGTCTGAAAGAAAAATGTTTTCGTTAATAAACGATTTAATAATTAATACAGATATAGAGGATAATTTGAATCCTAAAAAATAAAAATTCCTCCACCGTCATTATATATATATATAATTAAAAAATATCGTCCTTACGAAGATTGAAAATGATTTTCAAGAACAAAAGAATATTTAATTTTCAACTCTTTGCTTGATTCTCTATTATCGATTCTTAAATAATTATCAAACAAAAATCTTTCGTTAATAATAAAATAATAAAAATACAAAAAAGCAAAGAGTTAAAATAAAAAAATGATGTTCAGAATTCGCAAAATGCGCCCTTAAATGATATTAATTTCAAATGTTCCCATTGTTTCAAATATTGTAGACATTCTCGCGAAAAAATGAAAATTTATGAAAAAATGAAAATTATAAATTAGAAGTTCGATGATCGTTAGTTCAGCTGGTTAAAAAGCTCGAGAAGTAACTTACGGATTACATGTTAAGAGCAAGCGAGATTGTGAGAAAGGTGATTTATGATATTTGATGGTATATATATGAATATATATATATTTTTATTTGTTTGGTCGAAGCGTTAGAGGGGTTGGTTAGTGGCTCGTTAGACGCCATAGAGTTCTTGGAACGCTTGATCCAATCCATCTCCGATCTCCTTGTATTTCTCCTTCTCAGTTACCATTTCATCTGCAAGCATTCGCAATGTTATTTCGAAAAACGTTCGTATTCGCATTCTTCTCGATATCTGCCCTGATAATAGTTATATTCGAGGAAATCTAAGCTCTAAGAAACTAAGTGTTAAACTATTAAATCGTTAAAGAGTTGTGAAACGTTGGTTGGCATTGGACAGGAAGCAGGGTTTGGAGTAGATTAAATGTCCTCGATGAATGTTTTATTAGAGATGAATGAGAGTATTTGAGAATATTAAAAGTATGCAGTTTGAGTTATTTCTGATGTTGATATAATGAATGAAATATATTGCTAAAGTTGAACTATGAAATTATAAAAAACGTAATTCTATCTTTTTAAAATTATAATAAGAAAGATTATCTCTAAAATTTCAGAATATTCTAAGAGAATAAATTATTTAAAAAATACAAGAAACTTAATATCTTAAAATCGCACAGATCCAAAGGTAGGACTAATATACGGTGTTATAGAAATTGTTTCTTAAAGTCACTTTTGATGGCCCAGATAAAAATAAAGTTACGTATTATCTCTGAATCATACGATGTAATTTGAAAAGAAATTTCATTTATCTACTTTAGATATTGCTTTAGACGGCTTATTATACGTATATCATTTAAGATATCTTCTGTATAAATAATCGATAGACTAAAAATTAGAAAAAGGATGGATCATGCTGGATAAAGAACAAGTCATAGCAAAAAAGATAAAAACAAGTTTACTCACCAGAATTATTTGGATACATACCATTGGTAGATCGACTTTCCTTTGTATGTGTGGCATGCAACAATTATGCACAGCTAACACAATGGGCAGCATTGTGTGTTATATCGCGTTGTACACACAGTGGATGGTCAGTATTTGTTTTTTGTTAAGAAATCAGGGATAAAACGGAGAATGAAAAAGATCGAAGAAAAAAAAAAGGAAATACAGTCAGACAAATGTACACAAAAAACAAACAACACGCTGTTTTTTCAAAATTAAAATATATATTACAAACAGTTTTATAATAATAGCAATATATATATATATAATAATCATTATTACAATGATATTAGTGTTATTATCATTCCATTCGTTTTTTTTTATTAATATTAAGTAAATTAATAAACTAAAACTCTCAAGTATGAACTGAAGTATCTGCGTTTCCTTTTTTATGCATTTTTACTTCTCTCTCACTCTCATTCATTCATTCATCCTCTATCTTTCTTGTCCTTTCACTCTGTTGGCATTTTCTCGAAAAAAAACGGGAATAACAAAAAAAATTTTATTATCGTTAACGATAGGACACGTGGAATTGTAATTATTGTGCTTTCTTCGTTTCTTCATTCATCATGCTTGCTCTGTTTCTCACACACTCTCTAATATTTTCTCTATGAAATACTCGTGACGTTTTCGTGTCGCAAAACGCATTATTAGTCTCTTCGGACGTTTTCTCGAAATTTTAACATCTAAATAAAAGTTATTCGAACTTAAAATATTCCAACAAATCAAAGTGGATATACAAAAATTTTATAAAACGATATCTCAGTACAGGTGGTACTTTGATCAAGCTATACAAAATCTATAACTATTGCACAGAAAGTTCTCCGAATGTTTCTGCAAAGTTGAAACTTTCAAGATTCATTTAAAAAAAAAAAAAAAAACATCCAAAGAGATCT